TGTATGTATGTATGTATGTATGTATGTATGTATGTATGTATGTATGTATGTATGTATGTAGGTATGTATGTATGTATTGATGTATATATGTACGTACGTATGTATATGTATGTATATATGTATTTACAACACCTTTATTTCATAAAATTCTTTCGTGTTTGAAGTGGCGTTCTAGTAAACGCCATCCCGTACTTGACGTTCCTACAATCTTTATATTACAGAATCACCGTGCCATTCATGGCAGTCGCGATTTTCATCTACGTAGAAGGAGGCAGAGGTGGTTAATGGATAAATTTACTCCGCCTGAGATCTCTGCTGATTGAAAGGAAGCATGCACATGTGGTTGAAACCCAAGCAAACCGATTACTTGGCTTCCTGTAGACGTTGTCCATTTGTGAGCTGACTATATGGATTTCTTCACCATAATTTCGTTGATTGTTTACGGGTTGTAGGCTGAGTTTACGGTTAAATTTCACTTGGTTTCATTGGTTACATTTCTGATTTTCTCTGAAGATAATTTTGAAATTTTATGTTCCATTGGACACATAATGCAGTAATCGTTCTTTCTCTCTACCAAATAGATGGGGCGAACGCTATTGCTTGATGGAAATTGGAATAAATATGAAGACGTTCGCTGTTCAGTGTGCCAGAATTCGAATTTCATCAAGATACTTATTTTGATACTTTGATGGTCCATCGGCAAGAGGGTCTTCTCAGCGGGGACCACAGCTCTTCCATGCCGCCCGATCTTTCGCGACTTGCATCCAGTGTAGGCCGCTTTCTCTGAAATATTTGGAAAACGAATCGGCCCACCGAGTCGGCGGACGTCCTGACGGTCTTCTTTTATTTCTCGGAAGCCATTCTGTGACTCGAAGACTCCATCTGTCATCAGTAGATGACCGGCGCAGCGGTGCTTCGAATGTGCCATGTATTGAAGCGGGTCTTTCAAGCGCGATCTCTCCTTTATGTCTGAACTTCGCAAGCCTTGTTGACACTGTTTTCGTCGACTGATTCTCAGAAAACTTCTTTCCAACGCATGATGAGAAGTCCTTATGGCTTTGGCAGTTGTTTTATTGTCGGGCCGCGTTTCAGTCACATAACACATCGCTGGCAGTGCTGAGGCGCAGAATATCGATGCCTTGAGGTCGGGATCGCTGACCTGGTCTGTCACTTCACGAATTGAACCGAAAGGTGCCCATTCAGCACGTCTTCTTCGATTTAGTTCTGGAGCGATATTGTTCGTCATGTTCAGCTCTCTTCCCAGATATACGTAGGGTTCTACTCTTTGCAGAGTTTTTCCTTCTAACCATACTGTTCCCGTATCGCACCAATTGTTAATCATTAATTGCGTTTTGGACATATTCATCTCTAAGCCTATCCGCCGTCTTACCGCATTGAATTCGTTGAAGATCTTTTCCATTTCAGCTGTGCTGCTTGATGTCAAGACGATATCGTCGGCAAAGCGGAGGTTATTGACTTTTTTGCCATTGACGGAATATCCTCTTTCCAGTCGAGGTTCAACATCGCATATTGTAAAGCAGCCGTGAAAAGCTCTGAGGATCTGGTATCTCCTTGTCGCACCCCCTTTCCAACTGGAATCTTCAGCTTTCGGTCGAACAGCTGGATGAATGTTGGTGTGTTTGAGAGGCACTGTTCAAGCAGGTGGACGTAGGCGGGATCATCTCCAGCTTGCACAAGAGCATTTGAAACAGCGTTGATCTCCACAGAGTCGACCGCCTTCTTGTAGTCCACGAAGAGAACGGCCAAAGGGAGGCGATTCTCGGCTTCTCTCAATAAGCTGACTGGCTGCTTGGATGTTATCCATGTACGAGAAGTTTTTCCTAAATCCATTTTGCTCTACTGGATGGTATTTGTCCAAGATGCGTTCAATGCGATGGAGCAGAATTTTCGTGAATGACTTGCAAACCACCGATAATAGGCTGATGGGACGGTGGTTGAAGATGTCCTCTCGCTGGCCTTTCTTGAAAAGAAGAATGGTTTTCGATTCTCTCCACTGCTCTGGAATCCTTTTCACTTTGAGGTAGTGGTTGAAGTGTTCCGCAAGAAGAGTGTGAAGAGCGGTAGTTCCAGAGCGCAGCAAATCCGCAGGGATGTTGTCCAAGCCTGGAGCTGTACCTTTCTTCATGCTTTTTATCCCGTTTGCCACTTCCGAATCTAGGATAGCGGGAGGCTCTTCATAAGGCG